AACAAATAAATATTAACATTTCTACAGTATAGTCACCTTTATTTACATAGCACTTTAGACAATACAGATTGTGTCAAAGCAGCTTTACAGTGTTTAACGGGAAAATAATGCAAGAGGACAAAAAAAAAACAGTCCATTTTTCAGTTAAAGTTAGTTCATTGATGATTCAGCGATTATTGTTTCTGCATTTGACATTGAGAGCATAGGTCGTAATTTAGATGTGTTTTTTAAGATGGAAAAATTTTTATGGCTACAACATTTACAGATTCTAAAAATATGGTTTTCAAAGGAAAGATTGCTATCAAATAGCACACCTAGGTTCCTAACTGATGATGAAGAATTGACAGAGCAGCCATCACGTGTTAGACAGTGTTATAGATTATTACATGCAGAGGTTTTTGGTCCAATAATTAACATCTCTGTTTTTTCAGAACTTATTAGCAGTAGGAAACTACTACTCATCCAGTTTATATATATACACACACACACACACATATATATATATATAAATGCAAATATGACCTAAACCAGGGCTGTCCAAACTCGGTCCTGGAGGGCCGGTGTCCTGCAACGTTTAGCTCTAACCCTAATTAAACACACCTGAACCAGCTAATCAAGCTCTTACTAGGCATAGAAGCTTCCAGTCAGGTGTGTTGAGGCAAGTTGGAGCTAAACTCTGCAGGACACGGCCCTCCAGGACCGAGTTTGGACAGCCCTGACCTAAACAATTACAGACAAATAAATGTCCATGTCTTGATTCACTAAATGTCTTTACACACAAAAAGACAAACGTGTCAGTGCAGGTCTCAGATCAGTGATTCACAGAGTATCTCCTGCAGTCAAAACAGTCTCAAATGTCACCATCACTGCCAACGTTTCTCTCTCCTGAACCACTTCTGACATCGGCAGAGATGGTTTTTATCGGTTTTATAAAAGGTAACAGAATAACACCCCAAATTAAGATATTTTTAGTATAATTCATTCACAGCACACTTTAGAAATGTCACTCTGAAAGGTGGGACAGCTGACCCTGAATCAGACGCCCACAAGGGTGCCAAGAAAGCCACATGCTTAATTTCCCATGACACAAAACCCTGGAAAGAAAACAGATCAACATCTCAATACTTCCTCCTAGAAAACCAGCGTCCCAGATCTTTCTCCTGAGAACCGAACGGAAGTACATGTCACATTTGGGTCAGTTTGAGTTTTAGGATATTTAGGAGCTTCATCAAAGTTAAACTCCTGTGAGTCTCATGAGATCGGAGAGAGTGAAACCTCTGAGCCCCTCCTTTCCAGTGTTCGCTCTGTTGTCAGAGCTTGGCTTTGCCTAATACGTCCATAACACGGCAGCGCTGTGATCACGGCTATTCTCGTGCGGCTGACTGACAGCAATGATTGGACCAAATTAATGAGGCGGGACTCTCATCACTTCTAATTAGAAACCACACTAAAAACTATTTTTGGCCTCTGTTCCTATGGAGAGAATTCAACCCTCCCACCACAACAAATATAGAGCAATATGAGTGACACGGCCTCTGGTCTGAGACTGTAGGAGATTTATGAGTACTGCACTTATACAAACGTTTTTATACATTTTAAGGATTATATATTACAAAATAGATTTTTACATGTTCTTTAGAAAATGTAAGTGGTTCTTGCTTATGCAAAATAAAAATCTGAGAGACACACACACACACAGTCTGGTCAGCTATCCTTGTGGGGACTCTCCAATATAAATCCAAGGGAAGATGAGGGTAATCCATACAGAGAAGAACATCCAACACATGAGATGTGATGCCAACATCAATACCGGACAACTCAAACTAACTCAAAGGGGAACTCAAATAGGGAACTTGACGAGGGTGGCACAGGTGAGGAGGGTTAACTAATAATTAGACAATAAACTGAAACAAGATGAGCTGACCAGAACAGGAACTAACCATATATGGGCAAAAAGGAAGGGAACACAGGCAGATGACAAGACAAGAGTCCAAAACCCTGACACATATATTCTTAATTATTTATACACTATTATAGTATTTATTTATTAATATTTTGTATTTGTCTCTAATTTTCATATACTCAGTATATGTGCTTAATTTTTTATATTTCTATTAAGCTGTTGAACTTTTGTTACTTGAAATTATATAAAATAAAATATATATTAAAAAAACTTTTTATTTAAACTAATTTCTCATTTTGTTTTCTCATTTTAATTTAGTTACTAAAATTACTATATACAGTATATATATATATATATATATATACTAAAAAAGTACTAAAATGACATATATATGTATATATATGTATGTGTATATATATATATACACATATACATATACATGTCATTTTAGTACTTTTTTAGTAAACTACTAAAAATGACAACAATCACAACAAAATTACTAAAACTAAAATTAAGTTGAAAATGAAAAATATAACAATAAAAACTGATACAATATAATAATAAAAACTAAAATGGTTTAATGATACAATTATACAGTGTATATATATATATATATACACACATACACATACACACACACACACACGTATGTATACATATGCTTTAGTTTTAGTTCACAATAACAACACTGGTTCTGAGTAGACTGTAATGTGATAGATGTTGTGACTGCTGAATTATTTTTTTTTTTTATCATGTTGCTGGTTGGTTAAAAAGAGTTACATTTTTGCTGAAATACAAATACAATATGAACAACAGTAACAGTGGTGCTCATACATGCATCAGTTTTTCTTGAGCAACCATTTGCTTATAAACATTAATAAGTCATTCAGAATCACTTCTTTTTTTGTTGTTTATTTCCAAACCCCACATTACAAAATAACAGTGTTGTGAACTCTGACATTTAAAGAGAGCTCTTGGCTCACAGGAAGACACTTTACCAAAGCAGGTCATGCAAAAACAGTGTGGAAGGCCTCCAGCGTCGTAGCACCTTTGTGGGAAAATAAATTTAAAAAAGAAAATTAAACGCTTTTTTCTTTTCTTTTTTTTTTTGTTTTAAGTCAGTGCAAAAATATAAACAATGCATAGAAATCCATTAGCAAATATGTCCACCGTCTGCTGCTGTAAAACCGGCTGAGCGCACCCAGACAGTTTTTGCCCTTGAAATCCTGGAGCTGGATTCAGATGGTCCGGGTCGCGCTCGTACAAGCACAGTGTGACACAAGTGACATTAAACCAGCATTTGAAAATAAAAATACACTTTGCATCAGCTGAACATGAATGGAACAGAATCTGTACCTTTAGCATACCGCGGTCAATTTACAGGAAAGCTTAAAATATTCAAAATGTGCTTTGCATTTAGTTTTTATCATCCAACATTTTCATTTAATGATATATCTTATAGGAGGTTAATATGAAGCTTGACTTTTTTCTTGCAATTCTGAGAAAAAAAGATATGAACTCAGAACTTGTTTAAAAAAAAGAAAAGAAAAAGGTCATTGTGACTTTTTGTCTCACAATTCAAACTTTTTTTCTTGCAATTCTGAGATAAATTGCAAAATATAAACTCAGATTGCAAGAAAAAAATCAGAAAACTAAAAAAAGAATGATTTTTTCCTCAATTTTGAGTTTACATCTCGCAATTCTGTTTTTTGTTTCTGCCACAAAAAACAAATATATATATATATATATATATAAACGAATAAAAAAAAATTTAAAAAAATCTCACAATTCAGACATTTCTTCTCAGATTTCTGAGTTTATATCTTGCAATTCTGTCTGAGAACTTTGAGATAAGTCGCAATTACCTTTTTTATTTTTTATCCCGTGGCTAAAAAATAAAAAAAGCATCCATAGGTTGAAGCTGCCGTAAAAACTAAGAAAGAGAAAAAGGGGAACAAGCAGGTTGTTTTCTGATATTGGCACAGTGCCTGATCTACTGGTCTGAATGTAATTATTTCTAATAATATCTAATGGCTTGATCAGTAAAGAGTCGGAATAATAAGTGTGCTGGTTGGATTTTATGATTTATAATAATAAATATAATAATAATAATAATAATGTCTACTTTTACTGATTGTGAGGATCTCTTGTATCTTTTTTAAGTCAATTGCTTGCTTTGTCAAATTTTCAATACTTACATATATATATATATAAATTACAAATATAGGGATACAATTTCACAAACTATTCAAGGTAAAATTTCTAGCTGTATTTCTAAGCGCACGACTTCTTTTAGTTCAACAAAAGCAGTAATATGCAAGTTTTCAAAATCGTACGGCCAAAGTGCAGGAGGTTTGTGTAAAGCTGAAAAAATCAAATCTATTATTTAGAAAAACCCTTAATCGGGAGGATTGACAGGGTCCAGGTGAAGAAGAATAAACTGTCCTTTTGTACACTTTGCATTCCAACATTTAGACGAGCCCAGAGTTGTGTTATTTCACAGCGTTTTAGTTCTGTTATGAGAAAGAAGAACATATATCGTGTGATTTAAAACGACACATAACCGTGATCAAAATCAACCTTTGGACTCTTCTAGCACATTAAAACACACAGAAACGCCTCGCGCTCCGGTTTAAAGCCGTTACCTCTTCACACACTCCAAAAAAAAGTCAGAAGAAAATGAGTTAAGGCACCAATAGAGGCACAATTCTTACGTGTGCGCAAAAAGCTGAACTTCACAAGCATCCATCCATCTTTCCGGCCAGCTTGAGGTCACGAGAGAGTTGAACACAGTGAAGCCCAAAAACATAAATACATACAAGCGTAATATACGTTAGATAGCGATCCCATTCACACAAACACACACTTCCAGAAGCAGAAAGAGACCGAATGTGCAACGCTGACCAACCTAATATGAAAACTGTCAATGCAAACAAATAAAACGCCTCATTAATTCTCAAGCAAATGATTTTAGCTATATTCTGATGATGATATAACAGTAACATAGTTTCGTTTCTGTCCTAATCATGCAATCGGTTATTTTTAAAGCACATTCAAATGAGGTTTGTTCTGATTGTCAGCGATACTAATGAGATAAATACACAAACAAGCCTCCGAACATGTATAAAGCTGGTTTTAAAAGTCATAAATCAGTGCCTAAATGGAAGAAAAACACAAAAGCACAGGACTAAGCAGGTGGGCCGAAAGTCTCGCGCTCGTTATAAACACATCACGCACTCGGCTGCTTTCCACACAGACATTATTGCACAGTGAAGCCACCTTAGGTATAAAAATAGAGTAAGAACGATGAAACAAGCCTTCAGTTTTTCAGAAAGGCGAAAATCCAGCCTCCTCTGGGGGCTTTAGCCAGCACCAGCGGCCAAGAGCCGTCGCATGACCGCAGCACAGTGTTTGGCTGAACACTGACGGGACGGGACAGCAAAAAACGCTTCGGTTTCCTCATCTAAAAATCAAGGATATTCCGTCTGGAAAGGAGGTGCTATACGACGGTCTCGAGGCCGGTGAGTTTGGGCGTGAGTATGCGCGGAGTAATGCCGTTGTTCAGGTCCTCTTCGAACTCTAGAAGCTGGCCCATGAAGTTGAGGTTGGGCGAGATGATGGGCCGCCGGGACTTGACGAACTTGTATGCGTCTGTCATGGTCATCCAGGTGTGTTTCATCAGGTAGGCGATGACGATGGTGGCGGAGCGAGACACGCCGGCCTGGCAGTGAATGAGAAGCCCCCGGCCGGCCTGCTGCGCCTCCTCTGTGGACCGAAAAACACAACACCTGACATGAAGCCATTAAACGTGATGGAGATGTTATGCTGAACAGGGCTGGACTGGACACAACACTGCATCCACTTCATCGAAAAATGTCCCGCTTATCAGAAATATACACCTTAAAGATTTATTTCCATTATCCAAGCATTTGTCAAGTCACTAATGTCCCTGATTTTTTTGCCTCAATCAGTTTGAATCACAAAGCAATGCCTGGGTCATATATATATGTATATACAGTATATATGTGTGTGTTTGTGTATATATATATATTTATATTAGGATCAATTGTAATTACAATTATTTAATATTTATATAACAATAATTATTGCAATAACATTTTATAGTATTTATTATATATATATAATAATTTAATAATTATGATGTCATTATTAATTATATATAATAATATAAATTTAATATAATTTATATATATATATATTAATTTTAATATTTAATTCTATTACACAAACTGTCATTATATTTTATTATAATTATGTTATTATATAAATTATATATAATATATATGTAATGAATAGATAAAGATATTTTAGCCCTAAAAATAGGCTTAATTTTTTTCAGCAAAATTTTGATTTTGGGGTTGAAATATGACCCGACCACGTTCTTGACAGGTTTCAGGAGAGTCCCCCATCATCCTTTGATCGCATCAATCATCTGCTGTGGTACCTGTGAACTCGAAGGCCTCCTCGAAGTACTGCCGCAGGTTCTGCTTGTTGCTGTCGCTGGCGGGTAAGCGCTTGTACTTGAACAGGCCGAGCTCGTAGTGGTAGAGCGGCAGGTGCGTGGTGACGTTCAGGATGAAGCCGATGTCCATCCGCTGCATGAGCTGCAGGTCCTGAGCGTCCCGTTCGTTGCCCAGGAACAGGAAGGGGAGGATGGCCGTCAGCTCTGCGTTCTCGATGTCCGGTGTGGAGGGCAGGGAATGAGGTAGCGCCCCCGACAGGCCCACCGCGGTACTGCCGTCCTGTCCTTCCTCCAGGTGAAGAGAGTGCTCGCACAGATCACCGTGGCTCTGTCGGAAACCGGTGAGGCCTCCTACAAATGCAGAAACATTAATTAAAAGCAATAAATAAAAAACAAACCTTTGGGTTACAAGTCTGACTCTCTTACCATTAGGCCACGACTGCCCCCGTGCAATGTTTTAATGTTTTCATCCATAATTTATTTTCATGCACAGTAGTTGCGTGCTGATTCGTCTAATCATAAGAGACCTATCCTGTTTTTGTGGTCAGGTGACAGACACACTGAAGGATTTGCATGTAATTTGCATTTCAGGTTGAATAAATTCCAGATTGTGTTACAGATCTGTCGTATATGAATGCCGAATGATTAATAGTATCTCCTGAGATCAGTCAGCGCTTACTTTATTAGGTCAAAATTCACTACATAAATATGACATAGAAATTCCAGACATATAATACATATTCTATAATAAATATACAACATAAAATATTTTTAATTAATATAATTAATTATAACATTATTAATTATAATATATTATTACTATACAATATATAATACAACATTATATATTATTATTATTATATGAGGTATTATAAAATATAATTTATATAATTATGTTTTATATTATAATCGCATCTCCATTTCCATTTGAAAATATAATAAATTCCATAATTAATAAAAAATATTATTTATATTACTACTATATAATATAAAATACACCATTATATATTATATTATGGGTTATGAATTATAATTAGTATAAGTATGTTTGATAATTTAATCTCTATTCCTATTTTATAATATAATACAATCTCCATAACTCACACATACATTTAAGCATTTAACAGATACTTTTATACAAAGCAATAATTAATTAAAACATTATTAAATATGATATCATATTGCATTGTATGCTATATTATTATATTAGGTATAATTGTGTCTAACAATATAAATCAAAATTTCCATTTTATAATATAATCTCCATAATTAATTAAAAATATTAATTAAAATATATTATATTAGGTATTAAAAATTATAATTTATATAATTATCTTTTACAATATAATCTAAATTTCCATTTTATAATATAATATCCATAATTACTTAAAAATATTAATTAAAATATATTATATTAGGTATTAAAAATTATAATTTATATAATTATCTTTTACAATATAATCTAAATTTCCATTTTATAATATAATATCCATAATTACTTAAAAATATTAATTAAAATATATTATATTAGGTATTAAAAATTATAATTTGTATAATTATCTTTTACAATATAATCTAAATTTCCATTTTATAATATAATATCCATAATTACTTAAAAATATTAATTAAAATATATTATATTAGGTATTAAAAATTATAATTTGTATAATTATCTTTTACAATATAATCTAAATTTCCATTTTATAATATAATATCCATAATTACTTAAAAAATATTAATTAAAATATATTATTATATTAGGTATTAAAAATTATAATTTGTATAATTATCTTTTACAATATAATCTAAATTTCCATTTTATAATATAATATCCATAATTACTTAAAAAATATTAATTAAAATATATTATTATATTAGGTATTAAAAATTATAATTTGTATAATTATCTTTTACAATATAATCTAAATTTCCATTTTATAATATAATATCCATAATTACTTAAAAATATTAATTAAAATATATTATATTAGGTATTAAAAATTATAATTTGTATAATTATCTTTTACAATATAATCTAAATTTCCATTTTATAATATAATATCCATAATTACTTAAAAATATTAATTAAAATATATTATATTAGGTATTAAAAATTATAATTTGTATAATTATCTTTTACAATATAATCTAAATTTCCATTTTATAATATAATATCCATAATTACTTAAAAAATATTAATTTAAATATATTATTATATTAGGTATTAAAAATTATAATTTGTATAATCTTTTACAATATAATCTAAATTTCCATTTTATAATATAATATCCATAATTAATTAAAAATATTAATTACAATATATTATTATATTAGGTATTAAAAATTATAATTTGTATAATTTTCTCTTACAATATAATCTAAATGTCCATTTTATAATATAATATCCATAATTAATTAAAAAATGATGATATTACTATATAATATAAAAACAACATTATATATTATATTAGGCAATATAAATTATAATCAGTTTAAGAATGTCTTATAGTATAATAGCCATGATTTACATTTAAGCATTTAGCAGATGCTTTTATCTAAAGCAATAATTAATTAAAACATTAATATAAAAAAAATATAATAATAATAATATTACTGTATAATATAAAATACAATATTACATATTATTATATTAGGTATTATAAATGACAATTAGTATAATTATATCTTATTTTTTAAATATAATATAATCTCCATTTTCCCAATCATGTTTTGAGCTTTCATAGCGTGTAGAGAATTGTCTGTTAAACCTCTACAAACACCTGAGGCCTCGAGCAAACAACACCTGTAACACTAATGATAAAGAACAAGCATCAGCAAACAAGCAAACACCCTTATAATAAATGTTTAACTTGTCATACTGGACATCTGCGCTTCCCCCTGTAACCTACATCTGAAGAATACAGGGTGTGAAGATATAGTCTGTTAAATTTCAGTTAGTCAAATGTGAAACCAGTAGCACCTGTTAACCTGCCTCTCATTCACAACTGCTGAAGAAACACTGACATCATCTCACTGTATTGAGTGAAGGGGGTTCTTGCGGCGTGACACAATCGCTCGTGAATCGCACACAGGAAAGCACCTTCAGCGCTCGTTCATTTATAGAAACCCACGAGACGGTTTCTAAAAGTCTCAAATTGAAAAGAACTCAAATCCAGGTTTCTCTGAAAAGCTATTGCTGAAATCTTTCAAAACAGAAATCTAGCATTGCAGCAGTGGATGCTCTGCAGTGAATGGGTGCCGTCAGAATGAGAGTCCAAACAGCTGATAAAAACATCACAATAATCCACAAGTAATCCACAGCACTCCAGTCAAATCTGATGAAGAAACAAACTCATCTACATCTCGGACTGCCTGAGGGTGGGCACCTTTTCAGCAAATTTTCATTTTTGGGTGAACTAATAGTTATAGTGTTAACAGTTTTGCACGAACCACTAAAAATCAACAGTGCCAAATGTCTGCATGGATACAGTACTGTGTTACACAAGCGCCATTTGGTTGCTCAGATGTTCTGAAAGTCTGCCGCTCACAAACTGGTGTATTAAAAATGATGACTAGAAACAGCAAAGTCGCATTACACTGAGGTCTCTTCTTTGTTTTTAAAGATCAAGACCTCATACGCAAACTTCCGAGATCCTCCTGATTGATGGAGGAATTAATAAACACGTGGCCTTTTCTGCAGAGCCCCATGAGATGAGGAACAATATTGACTCTCGGGAGATTCAGAAGCACACACTCTAAAAAAATGCTGGGTTGTTTCAACCCAACTTTGGGTCAAATATGGACTAACCCAACTTTTGGGTTAAAAATGTAATGTAAAAATATATATAAAAAATATATAAAAATCTATATAATCTCCATAATTACTTATAACATTATTAATTATAATATTACTTTATAATGTAAAATGCAACATTACCTATATTATTAAATTAGGTATTATAAATTATAATTAGTATAATTGGTAACACTTTATTTTAAGGTGTCCTTGCTACACACGTTACATGTACTTTCTATTATAATAACAAATAATTATGCATAATTACATGCAAGTAACCCAAACAAATATGTCTGTGGAATTTGATGTGAGAGAAAACAGGATATGAACTTTTTCACTGGAGGAAGCGTTATTACATTTTAAAAATGCTGGGTTAAATACAACCCAGTGCTGGGTAAAATAGGGACAAACCCAGCAATCCTAACCATATAGTAAGTACATGTAGTTAATTAATATTACTCAGTACTTTAATGTATAATTACACTGCAACAAGGACACCTTCAAATAAAGTGTAACCATATAATTCTATTTTTATAATTGTATAATTACCATTTTATAATTTATGTAATGTCCATAATTAATTACAGCATTATTAATAATAATGAGTATAATTTTATAATATGATATAAAAACATTATTAATTATAATATAATAATATTATTACTATATAATATAAAATACAACAATATATATTATTAAATTAATCATTCATCAAAGTAAATTGTAATATAATTGAAAAAACATTTATTTCATTACGTGATTTCAATTGTTAGTAAATTGAATTTTTTTTGAATGAAACGTCAAAAGTGCTAACACCAAACTCTATAGAAATCAATAGTGAGTTGAGTTTCTGCACATTGTGTGAGGAGTGCTATATGCATAACACACACTTTCATGTTGTAGCCTATGAAGTGCGTTCCAAGCCACTTATGAGATTCCATTTCAGGCTGCTGCGTTAGAACTAGACAGCAAGACAGCTCACTAGGTTTTGGAACAGAGTCCTAATGTGTGCATGCGCTGGCATATCGGCTCCGTTCCAAAACCTAGTGCGCTGCCTTACTGTCTACACTTCTAAAGCAGCAGCCTAACTGTGGGATTATCCTATATACAACACATACAGTATGTACAATTTGGCCAAAACAAGATAACTTAGAGGCCATCATGTCGGAAAAGAACGCACTTTTGATGCCTAGGTTTCGGAGCAGATTCATGAAGTGGACATCAGCTGACAGACGCGCTCTGTCCTCGTCCCTCGACTCTCTACAACAGCCAAACAAGGCAAAAGATGGCAACAGACTCGCGCGCTGCTAGAATAGAGCTCCCTCTTCACCGTCAGCTGCTGCAGGCACGCGGTGGCACATGGCCGACGCAGCGAGAGGTCAGCTGAGCGGAGCTGGACATGCCTGCATGCGCAGGACGTCCTGGACGCAAATAGTCAACAACCTAAAGCCTTTCAACAACCTGAAGTGTGATCAACTGGAGACGTAACACAACTACTGTACTGTGTCCGGCTAGTTTCTTGACGCACATTTCAGTCCCAGTTCTACTGTTCTAGCCTCTAATTTGACCATTTGCTGAATCAATTACATATTATACAATTAAGTCTCTTCTGCTCACCAAGGCTTTATTTAAAACAGTAAAAACAGAAAAATTGTGAAAAAATATTTCAATTCAAAATATCTGTTTTCTATTGTAATATAACGTAAAATGTTATTTATTTTTATGAAGCAAAGCTGAATTTTCAGCATCATTACTCCAGTCTTCAGTGTCACATGATCTTCTGAAATCGTTCTAATATGCTGATTTGCTGCTCAAGAAACATTTCTGATTATTATCAATGTTGAAAACGGTTGTGCTACCCAATATTTTTTGTGGAAACCGTGATATATTAAATTTTTCAGGATTCTTTGATGAACAGAAAGTTCAAAAGAACAGCATTTATTTGAAATATAAATCTTTTGTAACATTTAAAAAAAAAATTTAACATTTTAAATGTCAAAAAAGTCTTTACGGTCACTTTGTTGCATCCTTGCTGAGTAAAAGTATTAATTTCTTTAAAAAAAAAAAGAAAAATAAAAGACTGGCCCAAAACTTTTGAGTACAATCATGACTAAAAGACGTTGTGATGAAACGGTGTCAAACACACATCAAGAAAACCCAGGATTACACTAAAAGTTTCAGAAAGTGAAAATCACATCCGATTACTCAAAAGCAACGGCCCAAAAAACTCCGAGCAGACACACGTCTGAGAGGGTGGCTTCATCTTTGAAAGTACAGACTGATGTTTGAGAAGTAATTCAGAACAAGTTCAAATGCCTACGAAACAAAAAGTAGGCGCTCAATAGTGAGTCATTTCTAGAAATTAATAATTCAGCTAGTTCTATTTCTGCAAGACTCAAATGACTGTTGGTGAAATTAAAAAGACAAGAGGATTCACAAAACAAGAGATAAGAATGAAAACTGCTATTTCTTCTTCTTTTCTAATTTAAGAGTAAAGTTAAGACTATTTTACATCTAAATAAGATGTACTTATTATGTAAAATATGTGAGAACATCTTAAGAATTTGTCAAGAACTGCACTCTTAAAAATAAAGGTTCTTTATTGGCATCGATGGCTCCATGAAGGACCTTTAACATCCATGGAATCTTTCCATTCCGCAATAAGTTCTTTATAGTGGAAAAAGGTTCTTTAGATTTAAAAATGTTCTCCCTTTTGGAACCATTATTTTTCAGAATGTATTGAACATTCTTACAAACTTCTTACAATTTATCTTAACAATACATTAACAAACACTCTTTCTTCTTATTTTCATAAGTTAAGATGTTTTTGAGAATACAAAATGTTCTTAAGAGTCTTTTTTTCTCAAGATTCTTCTAAAGACAAAACCTAACAAGCTCTAAAGACAAACTTTTCTTTAAAAACATGGAAAATAAAGTTAGAATAGCCTCCAATGTGTCTTAAATCTTAATTTTTTTTTTTCATTTTAAAGCCCAAAAAATGCACTTATTATGTAAAATATTTAACGTATATTTAATATTATACGAAACATCTGAAGAGTTTTTCTAAAAGTGCATTTACACTTAAAAATAGAGATTCTTTATGGGCATCGAAGAAACTTTAACATCCTTGGGATGTTAACAATAGAATAGTTATTAGTTAGTTAGTTATTCTTTAGATAACTAAAATTTTCTAAGAAACATTTGAAAATGGACTAAGAAAAAGGGATCTTTTAAGAAAAGAAAAAAACCTTTTGGAGCCTTTATTTTTAAGAGTGTACTGAACATTCTTTTTAGAATTGATCTCACAAAATTACTTAAAGTGCCACTCTTATGGATTTCTGAAACTTACCTTTCACGCAGTGTGTAATGCAGCTGTATGTGAGTGTCTGCAAAGTTGTGAAGCTGAAAGTGCGTCATAAATAAAGTTATTGTCTCTCAAAAGAAACAGTCGACGCTGAACCGCTGAAACGAGTCGTTTTAAATTCAAACCCCATTCCCGCGAAATTCATATGTCACAAGTTAATACATTTGCATAATGCTTGCCTACGTTCTGCGTGGTAGGGATGGGCGATACCCCTTATTTTGTTTTCGATACGATACCGATATTTTTCAAGGCAGTATCGTCGATATCGATACCGATTCGATACTTCTGCACTAAACTTTTAAATTATGAAATGTATTAAATTATTAAATTACTAAGACAGAGTAGCTTCAAAGATGAAAGATGAATCTTCGAACAAATCGTTTGAGAGTCGTTGAGAAATAAGGTCAAATTAAATGCATATTATAAGAAATTGAAAGTGTTTTTGACCTTGCATGCTTGTAAACCTGTTGTTGTGGACTACCAAAACCAAATTATGAACCTTTCAAATAGCACAACAGGGGCACTTTAACTTCTTCCTTATTTCTCATTCCATGAAGAACTTTTCCATTCCACAAAAAGCTCTATATAGTGAAAAAGAGTGTTCTGAACATTATTTTTTAGAATTTATCTTACAAAATTTCTTAACATCTTTTTAAGAAGATTCTTGTGAATCTGACCCCAGGACTCCAAATGTTGGATAAAAAGAGCATTTGACTGGTTCCATGAAGAACCTTTAACATCCATGGAACTTTTCCATCCCACAAAAAGCTCTTTATAGTGAAAAAAGGTTCTTTAGATTATCAAAATGTTCTTCGAACTAAGAAAAATGGTTCTTTTCAGAAAAAAAACCCTTTCGAAACCTTTATTTTTAAAAGTGTACTGAACATTCTTTTCAGAATTTATCTCACAAAATGTTTTTCTTAACAAGATTTCTGTGAATCTGGCCCTAGGAAAAGCATTTGAGAAGAAAAAGCATTTGATTTATTCCATCAAGAACCTTTAACGTCCATGGAACTTTTCCATTCCACAAAGTTAAATTATTAAAATGTTCTTCACACTATGAAAAAAATGGTTCTTTTAGGAGTCATAGTAAAAAAAAAAAAGAAAAGAAAAAGTTCTCTAAATTATTAAAATGTTCTTCACACCATGAAAAAAATGGTTCTTTTAGGAACTGATCATTGAAAGACCACAAAATAAACTCTAAATGTTGGAGACAAAGCAATCGATTGACTCCTTGAAGAACCTTGGCTTTAACATCCATGGAACCTTTCCATTCCACAAAAGAATCTTTAGATTTCTTAAATTGTTCTTTGAACTAAGAAAAAAAAACCTTCTGGAACCCTTATTTTAATTAGTGTGCTCAACATTCTATTTAGACTGGAAACCCATTCATCTCCAAACATTCACTCTCAAAAGCAGGCGTACCTTTCAGAACGATGGGGTCCTTTCCTTCCCTCCGCAGCGACTCCAGAACCACTTGCAGAGGCTGAGACGGCGTCAAGCGGCCCGGGTCCACCGTGCTTTCGTCGTACACCACCAGCTCTTTGGAAAAAATCCCCTTGAAGGAGTCCTTGCTCTGCCGGCAGGAGATGAGGTCCAGGACGGTGATCTTGCCCTGCTGGAGCCGTCGGCGACTGATCTTGTCCGAGCAGTTGATGTGCACGGCGCCCCGGATGTGGCTCTTGTTAAACTCCATGAAGGGTCGACAGTCGATGATGACGGGCACCGGCCCGACCGGGTGGCCCAGGGGGCAATGCGTCAGCTTTTTGGCCAGCTCATTGGGGTGGATGACCCGCATGCCGCCCCTGGTCAGGCTGGAGGTGAGACTGGGCGCGCTGTAGGCCTCGCCGTGGCCCACCGTCGGGACGCCATAGCCCACTCCGGAGTTCAAGTTGGGGCTGCTGGCGCTGACCTGGCCGTCCTTCTCGTAGGTGGTCACCGTGCAACAGCTGGCACTGCTGCATCCACACGTCAGCGAGCGCGTGGAGCCGCTGGACGAGGGCATATACGAAAGCTTGGTCGCCTGGATCTTCACCACGGTGGTGCTGCTGATGACCGTCGACTGACCGACGGTGCCCACGGTGGCTTCCAGGTAGCTGGTGTCCAGGCGGAGTCGGAGTTCCTGAGGTCGTATAGGCCTTGGCAGCGCCACCACAATTCTGTCGTCTAGAGGAGAAGGAGGCATGGAGAGACCACAGAGGGCTGGCACACCACGGAGAACTCAGATGTCTGCTCGGTCGCAAGCTGCTCACTGAGAAACACACGAGAATCACAGATGAATTTGAAATGAACCTTTCAGGTGCCAGTTCTAAAAAGAACTGTGTGCAGATCATTTTAAGGGAAAAAAAAATAAATAAATCTGGAGGCACACCGACACTACACAAAATTATCCTAATGTGCTTAAATAAATAAATAAACAAACAAACAAACAATTCAATTAAGATGAAACATTAATGTCGTAAAATAAATAACATAAATAACATAAAATACAAATAAAACAAAAAATAAATTAAAACTGATCAAATAAAAATAATGAAAAATAATGAAAAAAGAAATCAAAATAAAATATATCAATGCTGTAAAGTTACGTGTGGTCCTTCATAAAAATGTAAATAGTCATTAAGAATAAAATACAAATAGAAAGAAAATATATACTGTATAAATTAGGCAATCAGAAGTCAATGAAAGGGTTTTAAAGAGACCAGGCACAAGTGTGAATGCACTGAAATAATGATACTGTTTACAAATAAAAAAAAATAAAGATGATAAATAAATAAAACTTTTTATTTTATAAACAATTTACTTACTTTAAAAATAAAATTAAATGATAAAATAAAAATCCATTTAACATAAAAAATAAATACAATACATTTTGTAGTGTCCTTTATTATGTCAACAACTTAAAAGGCAAACATTAAAATAGTCATTAAAAATAAAATACAAGCAGAAAGAAAATATACTGTATAAATTAGGCAATCGGAAGACAGTTTGGTGAAACTGGTTTAAAGAGCCACGATGCAAAGTGTGAATGCACTGAAATAAAATTCAAAATAATAAAAAAAATTAGTAAAATAATAATAATAAAAACACCTGAAACAACTCATCAGCACAATTGTAGAGATGCTAAGATCTGAAATAGATGGGGCAAACATCGAAACACTGACCTAAAGAACCCGTTTCTACTGTGAAGAACCTTTTGTGGAATGGAAAGATTCCACGAATGTTAAAGATTCTTCATGGAACCAATAAAGAACCTTTATTTTTGAGGCTGTAGCATCGTCAAGCGGACAGTCTGTTCTCACACAGGCCCGGACTGAACCTGCAGGGGTTTTTGCACTCATTTTGGGGGGAACCTGCAGAATGGCTTTCAGCTGAGAGCACTATACAGTCAAATCAGCCAAAATATTCAATCAGCAAAGGTGCAAGTGGCAGGAGACCTGCAGAACTTTCAGAATGAGGTGTATTTGAATTTGCATGGAAATCTGATAGATTCCTCTCATGGCATGAGACTCTCAATGCACGAGAGCGAATTGCTGACCCCATTAAATTCAAAAGAGCACACAGCCCATTCCCAAACACGGCATGTGGACGTGCTGGGAATGAAATATGGAAAGGTTCTGCATCTGAGGCTAGACATCATCATTATTTCATGTGGTGGCAATGCATGCAATTTACAGATGATGTGCTTTGCACAGCATACAATCTGTCCAGATCACAACTTCAGCCTCACACGTGACTGATGACAGCAATGCATGGAAATGAAGTGTGATTTCAGGACAAATGTGTCATTTCCTGCAATGAAACACATCCTATAGATATATTATGATCTCTAATGCTCAGCAATCCCGTGCAATTATTAACCAACTCTAAATAGTTAAATATGTTCTTCAGACTTACATTGGAGTCGCGTTTATCGCGCAGTCCCAGTTATCGATCAGGCTGAGCCGCTCAGCCGGTCCCGGCGCTAGAGACCCGCAACATTTTCCTCCCGTCCTGCTTTGCTCTCTCTTCACTGATATAGTTGGAGTTTGTAGCGGGTCTGCACTAGTATCACTTCAGACTGACGTGAGCCTGAACCAATGGAGCTCCGCACTGCTTAGTCACGCGGTAATGAAGAGCAACAGCGGCCCCGAAACTGGAGGCGTGCGGAAGCGCAGCGTGATGTCATTGAGAGCCAATCAGGAGAGAGTTCGGTGAAAGCGGATTAAGAGACGGGACGCGAGTGTGAATGCACTGAAATGCCGTGTGATACCGTGTTTACTTAATAAATAATGAAAATAAAAAATCATCAAAATAATAAATATTGTGTTTAAAAATATGATACAATCAAGTACACATTATAAAAAAAAAAAAAGCAAAATAAAATAAAAAGTGTCAATGTTGTAGGGTCCTTCATGATGTCAACATCTTACAGGCAAAAATGAAAATATTTATTAAAAATAAAATAGTAACACAAAAATAATATATTGTGTAAATTACACAATCGGAAGTTGGTTTAAAGAGACCAGACACAAGTGTAAATGCAGTGGAATAATGAAACAGTGTTTAAAAATAAAATAAAACATTAAAATAATAAAAAATAAAATAGTGTAAAATAAATCATAAATGTTGTAGGGTCCTTCCTTATGTCAACACCTTACAGGCAAAAATTTAAATATTCATTAAAAATAAAATAGTAACACAAAAGAATATGATGTGTAAATTACGCAATCGGAAGATGGTTTAAAGAGACCAGAGACAAGTGTGAATGCAGTGGAATAATGACACAGTGTTTAAAAATAAAATAAAACATTAAAATAAAAAAAAATGTAAAATGTAAAATAAATCATGAATGTTGTAGGGTCCTTCCTTATGTCAACACCTTACAGGCAAAAATTTAAATATTCATTAAAAATAAAATAGTAACACAAAAGAATATGATGTGTAAATTACGCAATCGGAAGATGGTTTAAAGAGACCAGAGACAAGTGTGAATGCAGTGGAATAATGACACAGTGTTTAAAAATAAAATAAAACATTAAAATAAAAAAAAATGTAAAATGTAAAATAAATCATGAATGTTGTAGGGTCCTTCCTTATGTCAACACCTTAAAGGCAAAAATAGCTATTAAAAATAAAATACAAACAAAGAGGTGAAACTTGTGTAATGTGAAACTTGATACCATGTTTAAAAATAAAATATAAAAATGATGAATAAATATATAATGGGAAAAAAAAGACAATTTTTGGGTCATTATGTATGTCAACACCTTAAAAATACAAATAAAAAATAGAATTATTAAAGTTACAAAAATAAAATAAAAATGCTGAAAAATAAATTAATATAAAAATGTTAAAATATATGTACAAATAAATGTTAAAACATAAAAAAAATTAAATGTTGTAGGGTCCTTATGTCAACAACTTAAAGCCGAAAAATTTAAATAGTCATTAAAAATTAAAAAAATACAGAAAGAGAATACATTATATAAATTGTGATCATTTTTAAGAATAAACATGTCAACTTCACACAGATTCTGTAACAACATTATATAATAATTTGAAACTATGACTCATGTATTAAATCATATTTGAATGCTCAACACCTACTGATTTAAACATTCAATAACATTAAATAAAAATACAAATAAAAAATAGAATTATTAAAGTTACAAAAATAAAATAAAAATACTGAAAAATAAATTAATATAAAAATGTTAAAATATATGTAAAAATAAATGTTAAAACATAAAAAAATTTAAATGTTGTAGGGTCCTTATGTCAAAAACTTAAAGTCGAAAAATTTAAATAGTCATTAAAAATAAAAAAAATACAGAAAGAGAATACATTATATAAATTGTGATCATTTTTAAGAATAAACATGTCAACTTCACACAGTTTCTGTAACAACATTATATAATAATTTGAAACTATGACTCATGTATTAAATCATATTTGAATGCTCAACACCTACTGATTTAAACATTCAATAACATTAAATGACTTATTAATGAAGGTTATATGTAGTGTTACAGGTTCTTGTGTGCAAAATAACTGCTGTTGAGTGGAGTCCCATATAAAGCCAATGACTGCTGTTCACACTGTAGTTCAGTCGTTGAGAGGCCTTGTTCTCACATAAGGGCAAATGTTATATCATGTCTTCATGGTCTAAATGATTCATCTATGACTAATGATATCTAATGTGAGCTTTATTCATGATCTCACAAGCAGTGAATAGTGTAATGTTCACCAAACAGGTAATGTGGGAGTCACTGAGGTGAGGTTTGACATACTTCACGATTTGCATGGTGCATAAATTATATTTAGTTGATAAAATGAGGTAAAGTGTGAGTTAAGGTGACTAACTTTACGCTCGCCCCCCCTAAAAACCCTGATCTTGTTTTATTGCCCCGGTAGAAGCATAAAATTATATTTAGATGCGTGTCTGTCAGTGGAAAAACTGACGTCATGCGGTGTGATATTTAGAAGCCTGAAGAAGAGGAAACGAACAACCACTTCCTCTTTTGCAGAGGTGTTTTGCTCTGTCCCTTTTTTCACAGTAAAATTAGTTTCATTATTCTCAATGGCGATTCTCATTAGACTCTCATTACTGTAATACAGTCGTTTGCATTTGAATCAGCATCATTTAAAGGCAGTACAGTACCGGAATTCATTACAGCAATGCCACAAATATTCACTTGATACTGTAATGTGGAGAAAAACAAATAATTTAAGTAATATTAAAATATGTAAATATGTGTTCACTACTGGTCAAAAGTTTGGAATGATTATGATTTTTAATGTTTTTGAAAGACGTTTCTTCTGCTCACAAAAGCTGCATTTATTTAATGCAGTAAAACAATAATATTGTGATTATAAAATAAAATTAAACATCTTTCAACTTTTTATTAGATAAATATATATAAAAATTTACACAGTGGTGTGAAAAAGTGTTGGCCCCCTTCCTGATTTCTTATTTTTTTGCATGTTTGTCACACTTTAATGTTTCAGATCAAACAAATTTAAATATTAGTAAAAGATAACACAACATGCAGTTTTTAAATGAAGGTTTTTATTATTAACAAACATGCAAAAAAATAAGAAATCATGAAGGGGGCCAACACTTTTTTACACCACTGTATATAAATGTATTCTCTGAGATCTACAGGAATGAGATATTAAGAGTATTTGTGCATCATTGACTTCATTATTCAGTGTCCATGAACATCTTGCTCAGCATAAGTGTTGTTCAGATGGACATGAGCAACACGCAAACCTGCTACACGTGACAGAGATGCTGTCAACAATCTCCACACAAAGCATGCTGTTATTACAGCCATCTGTCTGGTGTCTAAAGCTATTTATACAGTCCACTGTGAGAACAACTTACGGTTGATACATCAGACAAGAAAAATGGTCAGAAAAGTGTTGATTTGTTTTGCCTTTCATCTATTGTGAACGGCAGAAATCATGGCATTCCTTATGATCTTTTACAACAAAGAAAAATGCAAAATAAAAAAATTAATACAATGAAATATATATATATATATATATGTGTGTGTGTATGTTTATCACCTAGTTATAAGTTAAATCACACTAGAATAAGTTAAATCAGTTTTAATTTTGGAAAAAATATATTTTTTTATTATTTTTTTTAAATTAACTAAATTATTTAAATAAAATCATTTAAAATAAATAAATATAACCATATTTAGGGTACTGTGAACCAATTTGTTTGACTAATATATATATACATATATATATATGAGAAAATCCCCAAAGATCATCCTGCAACTTGCTGAAAATTCTTAGATAATTATTATTTTTTTTTTTTTACAAATATTCATTTAAGGTCACAGCAGGCTCTGGTTCCTGGAAAGCAACAGGCTTGAGAAACGCAGCGCTTGCGCTCCCTGCTGGACAATCAAGAGCGACGGTCAGTTCACTGCATTTCCAATCCTTTAATTCACAGAGAAGCTTCAGCATGAGCAGGTGAAAGAGTCTCGTGTGTGCCGTACATACACAAGTGAAACATTTTCTGGTTAAAAATCTAGAAAGTCTCAAATTTACACATTCATAATCAAATTTACTTGGACTTCTTAGTCACTGAGAGTCTTCTTTTCCTTCTTCCTGAGTGATATATAAAATATAAAATGCAATTATCATCAAGCATGCAAAACGTGCAAAATGCATATATTTGGATTGAAACGCTTTCTGGTAAATTTCTCAATTTTATCCATTTATTATAAATCTTACTTAGACTTCATAGTCGCCATCCTCTCTCTCTTCTCCCCGAGTCTGTCTGGCTTTGGTTTACTCGCTCGCTCAACTCTCAGAGCAATTTTGAAGTAATCTCTGTCTGCAAACGGAATGCACAGGAACATTAAATATGTCACAGCCATTGTTTTCTGTAGTGTTTCTACTGAGGGAACGGAAACTTTCTGCATGCAGTCAGAAATAATCATCAGGTACTTACTGTTTTCACCCGTAAACCTCAAAACGTCTCTCTTGACCATCAGAAGCTGGACGTTCTGGAGCGAGTCCCTCCTGGCGATGTAGCTTCTGTAGTGTAAGGAAAGCCAGAGCGATCTCCTGACGTTCCACTCCTTTCTCACAGTGTTAATGCACTTTCTAAATCAACATCACGAGAAAGGTTAACCATGCTGGAGTGACCGAACCCAACAGCGCACCTTCAGCCACATGTGCTTGAAAGCACCGGATTTTCCAGAATAAAACTCAAATTTATCATCAGAATCGTGCTGGGACTTCCTTATTAGCCAATTCTAATTTCTAATTCCCAAGTGATTTATATAATGCAATTAATTGTATGCATAACGTGTATTTCCCATTCTTCTTATTGGATGGCCATTATGGATGTGACAAAATATTATCAATATGTTTACAATTTGAACAAGATATAACAACAGTGTAATGTGTGTTTATTGTGTGTACTATGTGTTCCTTTCTTTTATTGTTATTATTATTATTACTACTACTCTGTGAATAAAGAGAGATCTGACTAATTAT